AATGTCTACAATAAATAAAAAAATTAGCTGGGCGTGGTGGCATGCACCTATAGTCCCAGCTACTTGGAAGGCTGAGGCGGAAGGATCACATGAGACTAGGAAGTTGAGGCTGTGGTAGCCGTGATCATGACACTGCACTCCAGCCTGGGTCAGAGGGAGACTCCTATTCACGAAAAAAATAAAAATAAAAAAAATAAAAAAGATAAGGAAATCAATTCCAGAGAGGACTGACCATCTCAGAGGATGGACTCCAAACATGCAACTTAACATAATGTCTCCCTCATGAGATACATGCCTGCCACAGTGCTTGGTTCCAAAGGGAATTTACTTATGCCAATATAAACATGGGAAAGTTTAATATTAGGCATCACTTCTCACCTCCAAGTAGTGTCTGAGGAGAACTTGTTTCTACAAGAAGTGGTGTCTAAGAGAAGATGTCAGTTCTTCATTGTCTAGAAGACTGGGAGTACAAGATCTGAGAGAGGGCCAGGCTCGGAAAAGGGCAGTAGAGTTCCTAAGATGGAGGAGGGTGAAATTGTATAGCATACAGTCATTGAGTGACAGCAAATGAAGACTCAGTGGAAACACAGGACGTGAAATATGTAAGTCTTTCTCAGAAATAGAGAGATACAGGCAGCAAGCAGGAGTGGGTGAGGAGTTGAACCTTCCCAAAAGCTGTGGCATCACATTTCCCTGCCAATTACAGGCTGGGTGTGACATAACAGGGCCCACCAGACCAGGGGAGGGCAAGTTCAAGTCACAAAATAGGCCAATTCCAAGAATAGGTCCTTGGGAGTTGTTCAGAAAACAACTTCCAGGCATTAGGAGTGATTCGTCTTTCCAGAAAGCACAAACCTATGACCTGGCACTGGAGGATAACTCATTCACTGGTTGTGAAATTAGTCCAGAACAGGGGAAAAAGTATTTAATAGAATGTAGTATAATACAAAAGAAAATATCAAAGTATATTACAGATAATTAGGGTAATTGTCTCATGAAAAGGTGTGAAGTTGTTGGTTACAGATGCATGCGTTTTAGATACACACTCACCAGCTATCACATGGCTTCTCCCTCAATGGAGCATTCTCAGTAAGGTCTTTTTCTCTCCATCCCATCTAAAATCAAAGCATTGTTCTGACAACTTTCCTATTTTATTTTTCTTTATAGCACGTAACCACCTTCATCTCCTTTGCAAATGTATTGTATTTTTTTTACACTGAGAGCTTTCAACAGATCACAGTGCAGATGTATTTTGTCAATATGACTGCTGGTAGCATCAGGTACACAAACTAACTGGTCTATGGTGACCTACTGATAAAAATATTCTAGGATGGGTTCTCATTGGCTTTTTTTGTAACAAATAATCATTCCTGGATGAAAGGGACCAGGTCTGGAGTAAATGCTACTCCTGTGATCACAATGGCAGGTTCTATTACTAGAAGAATGTAGAAAAGTTATACTGAACAGACAAAAGCAATAGCTACAACACATTATATTTAAGTACACAATAACAATGTTAAATCAACATGAAAAAAGGTGAATTAATCAAACAATGCAGGGACAATTGGCTATTTATTTGGAAGAAATACAGAGTTGCTTACCTTATACTACATACAAGGAACACCAAAGAGAGATACTAATAATGCAACTTAACATAATGTCTCCTTCATGAGATATGTGCCTGCCACAGTGCTTGGTTCCAAAGGGAATTTACTTATGCCAATATAAAAGCACAATGAAGCAGAAACACTTAACTTTCAACTAGTAGAATAACTTTATTTCTAACACTGAACCTTCTACATCGGAATTTACAGAAATGAAAAACACTGTGCTGTTTATTCTCCATTTTCTCTTCTCATATACTCTCTCCACCTTTCTCTCTATCCACCAGAGGTCTCCTGCAGATGTGTCTGGTTGAGTGCTCCAAAGAGAGGTACAAGCAATTTGATGCCACCATTTTGGTAGTGACAATGCCTCCTACGATGACCCTCCTCCACAACAGCCGCTCTCACTGGACTCCGGTAACATGTCTCCATCCTTGCCCCGTGATGCCTCAGAATCACAATGGTTACCTGCTGATGCTAGTTTCTAGGTATTGCTATATCTGTTTCTGACTCATGCCATTGTAATAACTCTGCTATTAAAATCTTTTTAATTGGAGAATTCTGTTTTCCATTAGAAAGAACCACAGCTGATACAAACAGCCATTCCTCTATCAACTTGTCAAAAGAAGTAATTCTTCCCCCAAATCACTGTACAGAACATTAACACTTGGAAAAGCATCCCTCTGTGTTAGCTGGAATGCCTTCAGCTCTAAGTATCAGCCCTAAGAATAAATAAGAAATAGTTATTATCGCAGGTAATACAAAGTCCCAGGAGAGAACAGGTGCAGGGTTGAGCAGCTCAGTAACATCACCTCTGACCTGGTTTTTCCTACGTTATGCACTATTGTTATCTTCAGGCTATTGTCCTTCAATGATACAGACTATAGGCCAGTACCACAAACAGATGTGAAAAAGTCCAGAAGAGGGGCAATCTCTTTTCATGTCTCTCACATCTTCTTATGTCATTAGGATGATCTTTCCCAGAAGTATTGCAAAATACTTACCAAACATCTCATTGCTCACATGCTGACCCAACAAAATCATTACAATGAAATTTCCATGATTACCTTTGACTAATCTGAACTTACCCCCAAGTCATCTGGGGGAAGGATGAACAAAGATATAAGACAGCTCAGCAAGGAAAAAGTAGGGAATGGCCATTGGGAGAGCAGTGTCTTTTAGAACTGCTGGCCAATGTGTTCCAAGGAAGCATAGGAAACAACAGGAAAAGGAGGCAGAGATATTATATGACATTCTACAATAAGAAATACAAATACATAGTTCCTGGGTTACATAGAACTAGTGCTACATAGATCATGCCTAAACAGATACACAACGAAATGACAAGAGTAGTAAAAGGGCATTTCATTACTTACAATCACTTTTTATTTGTAGAGTGCAGTATTACTGTGTATAATCAATGTTAATCTTTGCATAAATTATGTAAATACCATCCTTATTGATGGCATTTATATTACTGATTGACCCAGAGGTTGCCGAAAAACCTCAGAAAAATACTGTTTGACTTCTTCATTGAAGTGGTAGTTCAGTAGTAACAACTATACCCATTCATATGAGCCAGGAAACAGCCAAAGAAAAGGTACGTGATATTGCTCTTTGTGAAATAATATTTCAGTTAAAACATATACTGGCTAAGCTATAAAAAAGATTCTAGTAGTATTTAGAATAGGGCAGATTCAGAGGTAGTTAAAAACCTCACAGAAACATCTTTTGGCTTCTTTACTAAAGAGGCAGTTCAGTAGTAATGGCCATAGCAATTCACATATGTCAGGAAAAAAAGGGGTGTGTCGTTTGCACTTTAAATCTGCCAAATGTATCTTCATATATGTATATACATGTATATACACAGTGGTGTCCTGGTAACTATTTGGACAATAGGTTCTCTGAGAAAACAAAAACCCTGATTTATAGTTTGCCAGTTTCCATGGTACTCTCACTAAGTCTAAGATACCAACAAGATAGCACTGAATGTGGAATTAGGAAGACATGTTCAGTACCACATCATCATAGTATTTTTTACCATACACATTCAGTAACCTAAGTAACATAAATAACAAAGATAATAGTAAAGTATAAGTAAAAATAATTAGGAAGTGATGAGTGTTGAGTATTTATTACCTTTGTTTTTAATATAATTTAATTGTATGTTTATATAATTTAAAATAATGACTGCTTTTAACAACTGGCTCACTGAAAAGAAAAAACAAACAAGTAACCCTATTATAAAGTGGGCAAAGGACATGAATAGACACTTTTCAAAAGAAGATATACAATACAAGTAGCCAGTACATGAAAAAATGCTGAACCTCATTAATCATAAGAAAAATACAAATCAAAACCACAATGAGATACTGCCTAACTCCAGTGAGGATAGCTATCAATAAATAAAAAAAACCCAACAGATGTTGGCACAGGTGAGGAGAAAAGGGGACCCTTCGACACTGTTGGTGGGACTGTAAGTTAGTTCAACCTCTACAGAAAGCAGCGTGATTCCTAAAAGAACTAAAAATTGACCTTCCATACGATCCAGCAATCCCTCTCCTGGGAATATACCTAGAGGAACATAAACCATTCTACAAAAAAGATACCTGTACACACATGTGTATAGCTGCACTATTTGCAATAGCAAAAACATGGAACCAACCCTACTGTCCATCGAAAATGGACTGGTTAAAGAAAATGTGGTACATATACATGACGGAGTATTACACAGTCATGAAGAACAAAATCATGGACTTCACAGCAAATTGGATGGAGTTGGAGACAATCATACTTAGTAATCTATCACAAAAGCAAAGAGCTGAATGCCACATGTTCTCACTCATAAATGAGACTTGAACATTAATCACATTAGCACGAAGGAGAGATTGGCAGTTGCTGGGTGAGGGGGGATGTAACAACACAAAACGTACCTGGTTCTATAAACCAGGGGAAGTGAGGACCAGTTGGAAGCCCAAACTTCACCTGCATGCAGCCTACTTGTGTAGCTAATCCTGACATGCACACTACATTTCTATAAAATGAAAAAAAAAGGCTGGCTCACAAAATTCCTGAAAATTTAACAATCAGCAGCACTTTTAAGTCAGTACAAGGTGATGCTAGCACATTGCTATATTTAAGTATGTGTGTACAAATATATTTACAGATACACACATATATACATATACACATACATATGTACATACAAGTATATAATTATACTAACCTATAAAGATACTGATGGTATTTGGTGTGGAAAATGTTGACATATACCATTATAGTTACTAAACTAAGGGTACATATTTTTTTCCTCACAACCATGTTGGGCTCAAATATACAAATAAAGCATACCCAAATTTGACATTAAGGTACTCACATAAGTTCTACAAACATCAGTGACTCTTCACATATATGTTTAATGTTGCTATCATTAAACTTTTTTAAGCTTCAGATTCTACTGTAAATATGGGTATAAATGAATATTCTCCACTATATCTACAATAAAATTTTGGTATCACATCTGGAATATGATAATAAACAATATAAATTCTAGGTAAGATTTCACCATATTACTTAGATGAATAGATTTTTCCTCAGTACATATTTTCTAATGAAGTTTTAATTTTTCTTGAAAGCTTCCACATATTTGAACAACATGTCATTTTCCAATCTGTGGCATTCTTTGGCATTCTCTGATCTCATTTTTGTAAACAGTACAATAAATTTGGCCAGTGTATGAAGGCTTATGAACATTCAGGATGTTGAAAGAGCTTTTACCCTTGTGTGAATTCTCTGATGTTTAGTGAGTACCGACCTCTGACTAAAGGTCTTCCCACATGCATTACACTCATAGGGTTTCTCCCCTGTGTGAGTTCTCTGATGCTTTGTAAGAGCTGATTTCTCACAAAAGGTTTTCCCACACTCATTACATTTATAGGGTTTCTCCCCTGTGTGAGTTCTTTGATGTACAATGAGGTTTGACTTAACACAGAAGGATTTTCCACATTCATTACATATAAAGGGCTTCTCCCCTGTGTGAGTTCTCTGATGGACAGTGAGAGCTGACCTGTGGCAAAAGGATTTCCCACATGTATTACATTCATAGGGTTTCTCTCCTGTGTGTGTTCTCTGATGTTCAGTGAGGTTTGACTTCACACAGAATGTTTTTCCACACTGCTTACATTCATAGGGTTTTTCTCCTGTATGTGTTCGCTGATGATTAGTAAGGTGTGGTTTCTGGCAAAAGGCTTTCCCACATTCACTACATTCATAAGGCTTCTCTCCTGTGTGTGTTCTCTGATGTTGAGTGAGGTTTGACTTCTCCCAGAAGGTTTTCCCACATTCACCACATTCAAAGGTTTTTTCTCCTGAGTGAGATCTCCGAAGTTGGGTGAAATGTGACTTCTTGCTGAAATTATTCCCATTTTCATTGTAATCATAGGATTTTCCCCCCATGATTCCTATTTGATGTTTAAAGAGAGTTGACTTTTCCCAAGTTTTGTCACCCACTTTAAATTCACGAGGAATCTTTCTTGTGTAAGCTCCTTGGTGGATAACGAAAGTTGAATTGTCACAGAAGATTTCTTCGTATTCATTATATTCATAAGGATTATCCCCTGTAAGAGCTCTTTGATGTCCAAATCTTAAATCCATACAGAAGGACTTCCCACAAATACTGCATTCATATGGCTCCATTTCCAAATGAGTTCTTTGAGATATATTGAGCTTTAAACTTTCAATAAAGGTTCTTCCACATTCATTATATTTGTAGAGTGTCTCTCCTAACTGAGATCTCTTATTTGTAAAAAAGGCTGCCTCCTCATGGAGGCCTTGTCCATTTTCATTACACTCAAAGGGTGGGTCAAAAATTGGCTGAGTGAGATCCTGGTGATGATTGAGGATACTCCTTTTTTCATCATATTTATAAGATTTCTCTCTCATAGTAATTTTCTCATGCCTAATATCAAGGAGCAACTCCTCACATACATTTAACTCATCTGGCTTCTTTCTGGAATAGTTATTTTTACTAATAACTAAGCCTGAAATATTTTTCAAACTCATTTCACATGAGTCACATATTTTATAGGGAAAATTTCTTGAAGAAACAGAGTCTGTGCCCAGGTTGAAGGTTTTCCTTTCTATATTTACTGTTTTGTTGTTGGTGAATACAAGTTCCCAAAAATGTCCACCCTGATTTTCCTGGCTGCTCTCTAACAGGTCATCAGGTTTCCATTTCTTTTCTAGAAATGAGAAAAATAACCACATCTTGTGAATCTTAATACATTTCTGATGGAATTGGACTTTTACACAAATGCCCTATATATTGTCAATTATTTTGCTTTAGGCTCAGTTTCCTGGTATGAACTGAATCTGAGTATACATTCTACCAGTGGAGAACACAAACATGCTTCAGTAGAAACAGGGAGAAGAAACTGGCAACGACATTTAACATTTTATTAATATAATCTTCAAAACTGGAAAGAAAAATTCACAGCACAGGAAATTAGAAGGGCTGATTAAGAAAATGAAAAACTGAAAGAAAATGGGGCGAATCAAACAGAGACAATGAACACTGAATAAAGTAACAGTGAAGATTGTAGACAATGCATTTCACAGGATGAATTACATTTGGTCCTAATATCCTCACACACAGATTACTGAGGCAGGGTTCCCACGAGAGGACATGCTTCTGTTCTATTCTACACATTAACAACAAATTAAAGTTTTGAAAACATCAACCTCCTCAGGTTCAAAGGGATAGTCCTATAGCCTAAAATCTAGTGCTTTCTATAATTTTATTGAGAGGGAATACTTGAAAAAATACTGTAAAGCATGCCAGAGAAGGCAAAATAAACTTAAGGCATAATAAATAGGAGATAGAGATTTTCTGAGAGTTGTTCATTCAAAGAGCAAGAAATTTATAGAGAATGAGCTCAATAAGGGAGGTGTGTTTTTTTTTTGAGTTGGAGTCTCACTCTGTCAGTCAAGCTGGAGTGCAGTGGCACGCTCCTGGCCACTGCAGCCTCGACCTGCTGGGGGCCGGTGATTCTTCTGCCTCAGCCTTCCAAGTAGCCAGAACTACAGGTGCAAGCTACCACACCTGGCTAATTTTTTTGATTTATTGTAGAGACGAGGTCTCACCAAGTTGCCTGGTTGGGTCTCGAATCCACAGGCTCAAGCAGTCCACTCACATAGGCCTCTAAAAGTGATGGGATTACAGGTTGAGCCACTGAGACTGGTCAGAAGGTGTTTTGTTTTGTTTTTAAAATGGAAATAGATTGTGTGAGAAACATAAGAATTAGGTATGGTAAAGGCAGAGCATGGTTTACACCCTCATCTTTTCATAGATTACTGTAATAGAAGCCTAATATGTACATCTGCTTCTGTGTTTAGGTTTTTTTTTTTTCTTTGTTTGTATGCTTGGAGACAGAGTCTCACTGTCATCCAGGCTGGAATGCAGTGGCATAATGATTGCTGACCTCAACCTCCCAGGCTCAAGCTATCCTCCAGCCTCAGCCTTCCAAGTGGCTGGGACTAAAGAGGTAAGCCACCACTTCTGACTAATTTTTAAATTTTTTGGAGAGATGGTGTCTTGCTACATTGCCCAGGCTGGTATCAAACTCCTAGCCTCAAGCAATCCTCCTGCTCTGGCCTCCCAAAGTGCTGGGTTTACAGGTATAAGCCACTATGCCTAGTCCTATGTTTACTTATTTAATTAATTATTTCACTCTGTTACCTAGGCTGGAGTGCCATGGCACTATCTGGCTTATTGTATCCTTGGCTTCCTGGACTCAAGTGATCCCTCTGCCTCAGTATCCCAAGTTGCTGGGACTATAGGTGTGTGCCACCATGCCTGGCTAATTTTTTTATTTTTTGTAGAGACCAGGTCTCACTATGTTGCCTAGACTGGTCTCAAATAAACGGGCTCAAGCAATTCTTCTGCTTTGGTCTCCCCAAGTGCTAGGATTACAGGTGTGAGACACTGTGCCTGGGCTATGTCTACGATTTTAAGCCCATTTTTCTATCTAGATTTTTCTTTTATATCTAGGTTTTATGCTTTAACATCTAGCCTCATCTGAAGCTTTTACTAACCAGTGAGTTCTGTAAGGGTTATTTCTCTATATGGTAATGAGACAGTCAGTAAACTTCATCATAAAAATTCTTGGCTAGACTTCATTGTTGCTACCTAATGGAATAATGCTGGTCACATGTTTAAAAAAATCTTCTGTCTCAGCACTTTGGGAGGCTGAGGTGGGAGGACTTCTTGAACCCAGGACTTCTGAGACCAGCCTGGACAACACAGCAAGACCCTGTTCTCTACAAAAATTCAAAAATTTAGCCAGGCATGGTAGCACACGCCTGTAATTTCAGCTACTCGGTAGGCTGAGGTGGAAGGATCACCTGAGCCCAGGAAGTTGACACTGCGGTGAGCTGTGACTATCCCACTGTACTCCAGCCTGTACAACAGAGTAAGATCTGACTAAAAAAAAAAAGAAAAAAAAAATCTATAAGAGCCCTGAGCTACTGTCCCAAAGACCTACAAATCAAAGTTACCATAAAAACAAAAGAAACAAACAAAACTTTACACCTATTGATTCACATTGAATGTTCAAGCCAACATCATTCATAATATCCCTGTGTAGCCATGGCTAGGGATTAGACTCTCACAAACTGCTTGTTCCCAACGACACACCTTTCACTCAGTTAGAAACACTCCATCCTTGGCTCTCCTAATATCTTGGACATCTTTCAATGAACTGTTACTTTCCTTAACTTAAAACAAAAAACAATAATAATAAAAGAACACAAGCAAAAATACCTACAACATCCCTACTATTTTAAGGCTCCACTTACTCCATACTTTAGAAGTTACTGTTCATATAATTCATTGTAACATAAAATAAGTTCCTTTTTCAATGTTACAGTCTCTGCTGTGACCAGAGTCCAGCAATGCTTCCTCTGCCTCCACTGAGGAGCCTGTACATTAATGATTCTTAAAAGCAGTGCACATATGAATTATTTCCAACCTGTACCTGATGAGTTGTAATACACAAGGACAAAATATTGGAGTACGCATTTAGGAAGAATACTACAGAATGCTTTCACAATGGATGAAAAAGAATTACTTCTTCTAAAGCTGGCTCCATAGATAATTAACAAAGTAATTACCAAATATCAAAATTAGGAAAAGTAAGAGAGGGCCTCCTCTTTGGGAGAACAAAATAGAGAAAGAAATCCTAAATAATCCTAAGTCATGTGATAAGGTCTGAGTTTTTGGCATACAGCCGCTCACGGATTAGTGTCATAAAATACGGGTTATAAGTTATAGCAAAAATTGAGCACCACTTCAAACAAGTGAAATAATAACAAGTCATTACTATGTACCATGCAATGTACACTTTGCACACATAGTATTAATTATCTTAGCAAAACAAAGTAACCAATAAAAATAGTTTTAGATAAATAAGAAAAACATTTATAAACAAAATTTAAGATACAGAATAGAATGGGGTTTGGTATAAATTCTGGAAAGTAGAAATAAAGAAATTTAGCACTACATGTAGAATAGAGTAACACTGTAAGAGTCAATGAAAGGGAATTTTAATTTATTAATAAGGAACAACTACAGATTACTTTGTCAGGCTAGTGTAAGATAAACTAAATGCTTTAGGTTAAAAAAAAATTAGAAATTAGATCAAGTTAGAAATGAGAGAACTCAGACATAGTTCTGCTTCTGAGTGATATCAGTGAAAACTGAGGATATAAAGGGATGCAGAAGATAGTTTTAAATGGAAAATATAACAGGACTATGAAGAAACTAGTAAGGGTGTTAACAGGTTTAGTGCAGTGACTCTGGACTAGCTGGATGACAGAAAGTATCTTATTTGACTCCTGGGAAATAGGTTCTCTAGCTTTTGTGTAGCTGATTATTCCTTCTCAATCTCCTCTAATAATGAATTTGATGCCTACTAAAAGTGTACAGTCTCAGGACTACTCTCACCTACATATAACTACACTCTAGAAAAGGGGCTGGCAAACTATGACTGCAAGGGAATGGCCCTTGAGCTAAGAAAGTTTTTCACACTTAAAAAAATGTATCTAGTTGCTTGATACAAATCATTGGGGTAATGCTTGACTTATCTCTTTCTCTCACACTACTTATCTGATCCAAGACAACAAATTCCTCTGGCTCCACATTCAAGATATTAGTATAACCCTACCACTTTTTACACCTCCAGTGCTTCCAACACACCCACTACCATACCCTATTCTCTTCTAAAGTACATAATAGTTTCCTAACTGGTATCCCTTCCCTGCTCAAGCCCACTCACCAAAGAACCTATAGTATATTCACTGCACAGAGGTCAGAGAGTTGCTTTTAAACTATAAATCATAAACTAGATAAATTAGTGTACCACTTTCTGAGACAGAGAAAATTAGAGAGCAGACATTTTAAGGGAGCTAATACGGATTTAATTTTGGAATAAGAAGTTGGAGATAACTGTTAAGATTCTAGTCTGTTTTGACAAGGAGGTTGGATAAATGTAAGTATGGAGTATATGGTTGAGGTCAGAACTAGAAGCATCTGTTTGAATGGCATGATAACTCAAGCTGGTCTACATTCACTCAAAACAAAGAGGGGGCTTCTCATATCACTCAAAATAAAGTTAATATATCCACCATGGTCTATGTTATTTTTTTTTTTTTTGAGTTGGAGTCTCACTCTGTCACCCAGACTGGAGTGCAGCGGCCACTCCCGGCCACCGCAGCCTTGACCTGCTGGGCTCTGGCGATCCTTCCGCCTTAGCCTTCCAAGTAGCTGGAACTACAGGCGCGCGCTACCACGCCCGGCTAATTTTTTTTGATTTATTGTAGAGATGAGGTCTCGCCAAGTTGCCCAGGCGGGTCTTGAACCTGCGGACTCAGGCAATCCACTCACCTCAACCTCCCAAAGTGCTGGGATTACAGGCTGAGTCACCGAGCCCGGCTGGCCTATGCTATTTCTTATGACATCATCTACCAGCCTCCCCTGTGCCTACTAGCTTCCAGCCACACTGGTTTCCCTGCCATTGTTCAAACATTCTAAGAATACACTTGTCTGAGAGGGTCAGCACCTTATGTTCCCTCTCCCTGGAATACGCTGAACCCATAGCTCACACTCTTGCATTATTTTTTTATTTTTTAGAGTTGGAATCTCACTCTGTCGCCCAGACTGGAGTGCAGTGGCCGCTCCCGGCCACTGCAGCCTCGACCTGCTGGGCTACGGCAATCCTTCCGCCTCAGCCTTCCAAGTAGCCAGAATTACAGGCATGCGTTACCATGCCCGGCTGATTTTTTGATTTATTGTAGAGATGAGGTCTCGCTGCCCAGGTGGGTCTCGAACCTGCCGGCTCAGGCAATCCACTCACCTCAGCCTCCTAAAGGTGCGGGATTACAGGCTGAGCCACCGAGCCCGGCTACACTCTTGCATTATTAAAGTCTCACCTCTAATGTGGGACCTAGTCAAAAAGGTTTTCTTTGATCTCCTTGCCATATAGAACATACTGCCATTAGCCATCCTTCTTTCCCCTGCATGGACTCTCCTCACAGTACTTACTTACCAGCACTCAACATAGTTTGTATGTACACACATAAATATATATATGTATGCATGTACTTTTTTCTGTCCCTCATTGTTACACATACTCTGTGATACTAGAGACATCATGCTGTTAATTAACTAAAACATAATTGAGTCATGGTGAGTGCTCACCATAGATATGTTAAATGAATATATGAAAGTATGGCATGAATACATGCCAGCTAACAAAAGGTATCCAAAGACAATAGAGGGAAAGCAAATAACTGTAAAAGATAAAGAGAAACTAACAAAGAAAACATATCTAAGATGAAACCAACTAGGTTTAGATTATAGGTACAGGCAAATCATGCTAAAATGTCACAAAAAGAAAAGTATTTATGAGTAAGAGTGACATATGGAAAAATGATAAAGATAACAAAGAAATGGGCCAAATGTCCTTGATCATTTCCAAAGGTTTGGGAGTAAAAATAGAAATTTCTGAAAAACATTCCAAAGGTAACAAACCCTTTAACCAATGGCCTAAGTCCTAATTTCCTCTGGATTTCATCTGCCTTGAATTCACCTAACTCACCAGGGTGCCACTTGCTTGGGAATCCTTTCTCTAATATCCAGGGCTCTTCTCCTTGCTCTATCTTGAAGATCACCTCTGGCTTAGTAACGCAACACCCTGTTAAGAGAAAATAACACAGGACTGCGGTTAAATAGCTTGGCTTTGGGGACTCTGTAAAAACGATGGGAAAGAAAGGTATAGTTTTAGAAGCTGCTCAAAGAAGGTGCCCAAATAAGCCAATTCTTTAGGAGGCAAGAACATATACATATGGTGGCCAAAAGAGAGCCTAGTCATCTCAGAGACTGGAATCTCAAGCTTCAAATCAGAAAACCTCAGAGCATTTATATATTTCAGCAACTATGAAATGCATACTATTGGTAGCTACATCAAAAAAAAAAAATTCCTTACCTAGTGAGACAAGGTTGCTGTAATTTTCCAGGATCACATCTCTATACAGTATCTTCTGAGCAGAGTCTAGCAGATACCACTCTTCCTGGGTGAAGTCCACACATACATCCTTGAATGACACATGTTCCTGTAACAGTATATTCCTTTTTTATATAAAGTGGTCAGAACTAGATGTACACAGATGTAGAAAGAGTTAAGAGAACTAATCTCTATAGTGTTTGCTGAAAAATGACAGATAGGCTACCTCCCTTTACACTTTACTATACATAATATATAATAACACAAAATATTTAGCAAAAATTGAGTTTCTACTAAGGGCCTGGAACTGTCCTAGCTGCTGTATATAATACTGATGAAAACAGATAAACATAGTCCCTATTCTCAAAGTGCTTATGATAAAGAGATATACATATTAACATTTATTAAATTGGACACTGCAGCAACTAACACGAGTACAAAGTAGATTGGAGTTGCAGAGGAAATGTTAGCTTATTCATATTATCTTTTACTTTATCAAGTTAACTTTTAAAGAGGAAGTAAACCTTTCAGTTGCTAAAATAAATAACAGAATTTCAGTCAATATGGTGTAGGCCCTGGTCAAGTTAAGCACATGATTGATTAGAGTGACTAAAATCTATATGCCTATGAGAGCACCTGTACCAATTTTTCTGTTTTTAGACACAATATTTGGCATCTGGTAAAAAATTTCATGGTAATGAAGAGACAAGGACCAAGAAAAAAAAAAAAAACAGATAATAAAAGTAGATTAACAAGTGATCCAGATCCTGGAATTAACAAACAAGAACTTCAAAATGAATTATAATTAATATGTTCAATAAAGCAGAGGAAACCATGGACAAAATAAATGAGAAGACGGGAAAAGTTCAACACATATATGGTATGTGTTATACAGATAAAAGGGTTAATACAGCAAGCCTTAGACTGCTATTCTTTGAAAGGTCTGCTACAAGAGATCACCCTTGATTGGCATCTGGGATCTCAGAGTTCTCACCTTATCATTTTCTGGTAAGAATGGCTCACTGCAGCTAAATTGTTTGTGTAAGCAATATGGTTTATGCTAAATATGTGCATTCCTTCTGGATGTCTAGAATTTTGGTACACGATAGGCAGAGAGTTCCTATGTGAGCAGGCCCAGATAAAAGCTCTGAGTACCATGTGTCTATTGAGCTTTCCTGGTACACATTTCATATGTTTCCACATGTCATTGCTAGAGGATTTAAGTGCTTTCTGTGAGAGTCCACTGAGAAAATTTCTTAGGTATTGCTGATTTTGCTTTGTATCCTTGCATTATAATAAATCATAGCTATAAGTATGACTATATGCTGAAACACCCTAGGGAATCATTAAACCTAGGGATAGTTGGGAACATTTTACATATGTATACACAGAAACACACACACATATATAAACTAGGCATTCTAGAGTTGAACTATCCAATATCTGAAATTAAGAACTCGTTAGATAGGTTCAAAATTGTATTAGATATATTAGAGAAAGAAGATAATCTGAAACATGTATGCATTTAATAAAAGACCATTAAAATATATAAGGCAAAAATAGAACTTAAAGGAGAACTTAGAAATCTACATCATAGTTGGAGACTTCAATACCCTTCTGTCAGTAATGATGAATCAAGCAGGCTGAAAATCTGTAAGTATGCAGATGGCCTGAATAGCACTATCAATCAACTTGATCTAACATTATAGAATACTTCATCCTAAACAATAAATTATACATTCTATCATTCTATTCAAGTTCACATGGAACATTCAGAAACACAGACCATATTAAGGCAATAGACAGCATACAACATATGTTCTCAGACCACATGGAACACAAACCAATAAACAAGAGATAGCTTGAAAATCCCCCCAAATACTTATAAGCCAAACAACACATTTAATAATAACCTATAAGTCAAAGAAAAAGTCTCAAAGAAAAATTTTAAATGTTTTAAATAAAATATTACTTATTAAAATATGTAGGACACAGAGAAAGTAGTTAATAGAAGGGAATCTGTAGCATCAAATACAAAAGGCAAAAAGCACTTCCACAAAACAAAAAGACAAGCCACAAACTAGGATAAAATATTTGAAAAATACAAATTTAATAAAGGAGTTACATCCAAAATATAAAAAGGACTTTTAAAACTCAGTAAGAAAACAAATGACCCATTTGAACAATGGACAAAAGATCTGACTAGGCATGTCACCAAACACATACAGATAGCAAATAAATATACGAACAGATGCTCAATATCATTTGTCATTATGGAAACAAAAATGAGATACCATGACATTTATTAGAATAGCTAATAAAAAAATAAAATGTTAATTTCAGGTTTAGAGGCAGAACAGGAGTTCTGACTCACAGCTGCTAGGAATACAAAATGATACATTTTGAAGAATAGATTTACAGTTTTACAATTCTTGGTTGACAGGATTTTTTTTGTTTTTCCTTTTTATAGCACTTTAAAGATGTTATCCCACTGCCTTCTGCCCTTCATGGTGTCTTCAAGATCTGCTGCTTTTTATATGGCCTTTGACAGTTTGGTTACAATGTGCCGAAAAGGATCTTTTAAGTTTTTCTTACTTGGAGTTTGTTAAGCTTTTGGATGTAAGATTTGTGTCGTTCATAAAATTTGGGTAGTCTCTACTCATTATTTATTCAAATAATCTTTCTGCCCCTTTCCCTTTTCTTCTGAGACTCGAAGGTGTCTCACAGGTCCCTTAGGTTCTGTTTACATTTCTTCATTTTTTTTCTATTCTGCCCCTCATATTGGATTATTTCAATTGTTCTATCTTCCAGTTCACAATTCTCTCAGCTGCCTGCTCAAATGGGCTGTTAAACCCTCTAGTAAATGTTTTATTTTAGTCATTTTACCTTCCAGCTTTAGAATTTCTATTTGGTTTCTTTTTCTACTTTCTAACTCAGTTCATACATTGTTTTCATAGTTATTTGTCCTTTTTAGAGAATATTTAAGATAGTTTAAAGTCTTTGTCTAGTAAGTCCAATGTCTGGGCTTCCTCAAAGAAATTGTTTTCCTTTGAGAGAGGTCTACGTTCCTATGTCTTTGGATATGCTATAGTTCTTTTTGTTGCTGAAAATTGGACATCTGAATACTTTAATGTGGTAACTCTGGAAATCAGATTTTTACTGCCTTCCAGAGGTATTGCATCTTTTTACTCCTCAGGAAAATGAATGGAAGGATATACATAAGGCTTCTGGGTTTTTGGCAATGTTTTGTTTCTTTACTTGGGTGTTAGTTACACATTTGTACTTAGCTTGGGCATCTATGTTAACTGAACTCTTAGGATGTATTCATGTTTCTACATGCTTGTTTAATAGCACAGCAAACAAAATCTCTACAAAAATTTTTTTTAAAAATTAGCCAGGCATCATGATGCACACCTGTAGTCCAAGCTACTTAGGAGGCAGAGACCAGAAGGATCATCTGAGCCCAGAAGGTTGAGGCTGTGGTGAGCCATGATCATGCCCAATGCACACCAGCCTGGGTGACAGAGTGAGACCTGTCACCAAAAGAAAAATTTTTTTAAGTAAAAATTTAAGTGAAAATTTTAAACACTCATTGTGTATTAAGAAATTATTGTCAAATTGTGGTTATTATGACTATATTATGGTTTTCTTGAAGTTTCCTGAATCAATTTTTTTCTATATGTGGTTATATTTTGTGAATTTGAGTTTTTTTGGTTTTTTTTTGAATTGGAGTCTGTCTTTTGCCCAGGTTGAAGTGTATTGGCACACTCACAGCCATCCCAGCCATACCAAACATGTTGGGCTCTGGTGATCACTCCACTTCAGCCTTCAAGTAGCTTGGACTACAGGTGCATGCTATCACGCCCAGTTAATTTTTAAAAAAAGTTTATTGTAGAGATGAGGTCTCATCAAGTTGCCTGGGCTGGTCTTGAACCCACAGGCTCAGGCAATCCACTTGCCTCGGCCAGTGCTGGGATTACAGGCTGAGCCACCGAGCCTGGTCATGAATTTGATTTTTATTTATTTATTTATTTTTGAGTTGGAGTCTCACTCTGTCACACAAACTGGAGTGCAGTGGCCGCTCCCAGCCACCACAGCCTCAACCTGCTGGGGTCCAGCGATGCTTCCGCCTCAGCCTTCCGAGTAGCTGGAACTACAGGCACGTGCTATCACGCCCAGCTAACTTTGATTTATTATAGAGATGAGGTCTCGCCAAGTTGCCTAGGTGGGTCTCAAACTCGTGGGTTCAGACAATTCACTCACCTCAGCCTCCCAAAGGCAAGGGATTACAGGCTGAGCCACCGAGCCTGGCTGAATTTGATTTTTAAAAACTAGGTTCACTTATTCTATTTGTATTTTACTTTAGTGTTTGCTTTTTTCATGTTTAAATTTTATAGTTTGAACATGTGAAGCATTTAAATCATTCAAAAGTAAAAATTACATACAATGATAACTGTCAAATAAAGGGGTCTAGATGCATTAACATCAAACAGGCACTGAGGATACCCAACGCTCAGAGCTTGGTTTTTAAATAACAGTTCCTGTAAAAAGAAAAGTACTCCAAGAAAAAAGAACAGAGTCCGTGTCTGGGGCTGGGAGTTAAAGATAAGATGGTGTATCTCTCTTCTAATAGACAGCAACAATGTGTTCCAAGATTAATTGGGATGTACAGGATCGACCTTGAAGGAGTACCACTAACTAAATGGGAACAATATGAACATCAAAAAGAATAATAATGCATAAGACCAAAAAAAATATATATATATCTATGAGTCTGGAATGAGACCAGAAGAAAAGGGTATATGTGTGAGTGAGGGTGGGTAGGGGAAAAAAAAAAATTCAGCTAATAAATGTAGAACGAATTTAAAAATGTTAAAATAATAACTTTGCAACCACCAGTGCAAAGGTGATTCAGACAAGTACATCATCTTAGCATGAAATGAAAGGTTGCTGGGAACAATACCGTTGAAATGGAAACTCAATAACATAACCTTTGTAGCATTTCAGCCAATAATGTTTAACATGATACAATATGAAGATGTAATCAGACAAATTCAGATAGTCAAAACTCTGTAAAAATGTCATTTCAGGAAAGACAAAAAAGGCAGG